GAAGTTACGATAGACTAACTTCAAGATCAACGCAAAGAAGTGTGAGTGGCTAAGACAAAAGTTATGTACTTGGGCCACGTATTAGATGGAGACGACATTCGACCAGAGGACAGTAAGATCGCAACGATTAGATACTGGCCAACTCCTCGCACTCTGACTAAGTTGCAGTCGTTCTTAGGTACGGCCAACTACTACAGGAAGTTTGTAAGAAACTTCTTTGCTATCGTTGCTCCCCTTCGCAGACTCCTAAAGAAGAAAGTAATCTGGAAATGGGACCAAGATTGCACCTCGGCCTTGAAGAAGTTAAAAGGCTTTGGTAGAGTATCATGTCCTCAAAGTAGTCGATCCTTCATCACTCTTTGTCATCACTATAGACGCAAGTCGGTATGGCATAGGTGTTGTGCTACAACAAGATGACGACAATGGCTATAGACCCGTAGAGTTCATTTCAACTAGGCTGCCTTCGGAAAAAGTAGCAGCCTCAACATATGAGAGAGATCTCTACGCTCTCAAGCAGACCCTAGATCATTGGAGGCATTACCTGCCTGGGAGGCACTTCAAAGTCTATTCAGCCCACCAGACCCTAAGGTGGTTGAAGACGCAAGCCAAGATGACTCCCAAGTTGACAAGATGGGCTGCCGAGATAGATCAATTTGACTTTGAGCTCAAACCCGTTAAAGGTAAGTACAACGTGGTAGCCGATGCACTAAACAAAAGAGCAGATTACTTACAACGCGATAGTATACTATCTGGATATAGGGGCGGACCTGCAGCAAAGGATAAAGAATGTGTATGCTCAGGATCTGATCTAGAGTGAGTTATTGAAGCGAGTGAAAGAAACCCCTGATAGTGAACCACAAACGGGCTACTGTTTGAGAAGACCATTGTCGTTGACAGACTTTGTGTCCCCAATAATGAGGAGATCCGTAGCTTGATCTTAGAAGAATGCCATGATACAGAAGGACACTTTGGTTGGCAAAAGACTTTGGCTAACCTTACAATGTCATATACATGGCCAATCATGAAGACAAACTAGATAGAATATGTCCGCAATTGTAAAGTTTGTCAGCGCAATAAGACAACGACGCGAGCACCGCTAGGTCTCCTTAGACCCTTGCCTACACCCGCAAGACCCGGAGAGTCAGTGTCCATTGATTTCATGGATACCGGTGTCAAGAGTAGGCATGGAAAAAGCCAAGTCATGGTCATAGTAAACCGATTTAGTAAATATGTCGTTTTTATCCCACTATCGGCAGAAGCAAGAACCAACTTAGTCATAGCAAAGTTTTTATTTTATTTTTGGGTAAGCGAGCATTGCGTACCGTTGTCGATAGTCAGTGATTGAGACACGCGGTTTACTAGCCAGAACTGGCAGGATCTTATGAGAGTTTACGGTAAGTTGTTGATGTCGTTAGGTTGTCATCCAGAGGCAAATGGCCAGACAAAGCAGATGAATCAAATATTGCAGCAGCTACTCAAAATGTATATTAGACCCGATCAAGTAAACTGGGATGAGATGCTTCCCAAGGTAGCTACCGCTTATAACAATAGTGTACATCTAGCTACCTGTCGAACTCCCAACGATTCAGAGATTGCCTCCCAGTACCAGAGACTTCACAAACTGGCTTCCTTAAAGGGCGGCGTATCCATGATAGCATCCTCCTAGTCAATGAGCTTTTAAGATATCTCGACAGTCTAGGGCAATGCCGCCTTTATTTTTATAGATTTTGAAAAAACATATGACCATGTGGATTGGCGTTTCTTGGATAATTGTCTGGAGAAAATGAACTTTGGAGAATCCTTTCGGAGATGGGTGAGTATTCTCCACCACGCATGTATAGGTGAATGGAAGCCTCGCCCCAGATTTCCCTCTACAGAGATTTGTCCGCCAAAGAGACCCGATCGTGCCATACCTCTTCGTGGTAGTGATGGAGGCCTTGGCGGCCAATCTTAGAACCAACCGGAACATCAGTAGAATCAGGACGACCTCCATCCCACAAGACGCATTGCAGGTGTGTTCGCTATTTGCAGATGACCTCACCTTGATGGTGGAGGCCTCCACTCAGAATATGGAGGAAATTGAAAGGCTGATGGCCCGATTTTGCTCCCTTAGTACAATGCCGCCCAATTGCAGAAAGAAATGAATGAACTTGAGAGAAGAGAGAGGATTAGAAGAAGAAGAAGAAGAAGAAGAAGAAGTAAGAAAGAAGAAGAAGATGATGTACACCAGCATAAACAATGACAAGGCTCTTCTTCTTCGCCCAACAATCTCCTCCTCCTTATCTCCCCCTTCTCTTATTCATACAAGAAATAATAATACAATGTTGAATGGCTGATCCAGAATCAATGTCCGAGTCCCTCTTCTACTGCGGGTATCACTTGAGGTCCACCATAGCCATGGCCGCCTCCCCCACTCTTCACCCTCATAGGCCGAGGCTATGGCGAACTACTAGGCCTTTGCCAGATGCCCAAAGGACAACCCAAAGCAGCTATGGCTGCTCTACCTCAGGCCGCCATGCCCAACCCTGCATTGAAGCTACTTGGTGTGGCTCTCCCCAGTTGGGGACTCCCTGCTGCAGCGCCCACCAAGGTGATGAAGATGGCTGCCACCATAGCCAGGTAAGCACCCCTGGCGCTCCTCCCCCTTCCTTCTTCCTCCCTCGTGTCCTTCTCCTTCCTCCCCAGCAGCGCTGCTCCAGCATAGCGCTGCTCCAGCCAGCGCTCCACCAGTGTGTCGCCAAACTTGCACACCGAAAAAGAGGCCGGACTCTCCGCCCGGCCCGAAGATATAGCGGCCTGCTTTGCCTCTTGGGCGGTGACTTCCAGGCTGCTTGGCCTCCCAAGCAAATGGTACCTCCTTTTTGGAGGGAAACATCATTGCAGACTCTGATATTGCCCGTACAGGCCCTAGACTCAGACTGGTATCTGCCTAGACCTAGCCTACACTACTGGGCCTCTAAAAATGCCACTTTTGTCTTCTTCTGCTCGGCCTTCGGTACCTGCACATCTACCCCTTCCAGGTGCGGTACCGGCCTACCCGCTACTTGAGTGCTTTTCCCCGCTGCAACCCCTCAATGTCACGGCCACAGGTAAGTACCGGCCCTGAGGGCCCAACGAACGAGCAAGTGCCCTCACGGGCCACACACATTGTTACATGCTGCGCCTGCACACGAGGGCCATTTTCCAGGCCCTGCGTCCCTCAGGTGGAAAGCCTGAAAACCAGGGCCTACAGGCCCCGTGACCATGCAGCTCGAAAGCCTGAAAAACAGGGGCCTACAGACCCTGTGTCGTTTCAGACTAAAAATGGCAGTAGCCTTTTTAGCCTGAAACGAAGGGCCATTTCCGGTCTGTCATCAGACCGGCCTGCCCTGAAACTCAGGCACCA